CCTTGGAGAGGGCAGCCTGGAGGATGAAGGATGGCCCAGAGCAGCCTGGCATCACTTCCCCAGTGTAAAGTGGGTGGGTGGGCCACAAAGGTGGGGGGAGGTGTAGGGAGGGGATTCCAATGGTGCTGAGCCCCACCACCACCATTTTCCAAGACAACCTTGAGGGAGCACAATACTTGCCTTGCCCTGCATGTTGGCAACCCAAGCTGTGCCACTGGATGGGGGTGAGGCAGTGGTTATACTTGCTATTTACAATACAGGCACAGTGCCTTCATTCATATCAGGACTATAAAGGAGACAAAGGGCTAATGCCACCTTTCAAATTCCATATACCCAATACCACTTGTGCCCAGTGCCTTTCTGTAGAAAACTATCAGCTCTGATCCCCAATACTGCTCACACATCATCTTCTAAGATGTAAAAGAGAAGAGTAATTGTCTGAATGTGGTATGATGCCCCTGCAGTTATTATAAATATACAGTATGTGTTCAAAATACTTTAAAATGAATAGTTACCTGATTAATTGGAAGCAGCATTGTACATGAGTGAAATATTTGCACTTGATTAAATGACCTGATTAATCAACTAAATGTAGCAAATAACAGCTACTGAGATTATACCATCACAGTAGCTTATCACAAGTTTTGCTCCTGAAATGGCTTTTTAGGGCCAGCTGCACCTGTGTGATAGGAGCTGACTGCTTCAGGCAGCAGGTGCTGCAGGGAGTCACAAAGCTGTGTGGGCCCCTTGGCCCGGCCTGCCTCCTTAAGTTAGCCAACTGTCCTCAGGTACAATAGAAGGTGTGCTCTTGCCACTACTGGAATAAGATTCATCTTCCTTACTTGGTTTCTGCTGCATGGGGAATGGGTTGGGATGCAGGAAATAATCCTTCACACCACGCAGCAGAATGAATGTGTGTAACACTGCAGATATTAGACCTCCCTGATGGTAGTGAGATGTTTAAACTTGATTCTAGCTGTCACTAGAAAATCTAACTGTAGTGTTCATGATCCCTGGTTTAACTGGCATTAATAAAGGTCAATGCAGTCATCATTCATCTCAGCCCTTAAACATGTGTTCTCAGAAGTCAGCCTGAGTTCTGTGGGGATTAGCTCCTAGTAAGGGTGTATCAAACTGCAGATCACAAACTATTTAGACACCTTCAGAATGTGGTATATTCTAAATGTAGAAAACTCAGTTCCAAGCCCCTGCTCAGCTAATAAACTGGCTGGCTAAATTTGAAATGTGGCATGGACAGAGTTTAGGAAGGTCACTGTCTCCCAACCCAATCTACCTCATGAGATTGCCATAAGGCTAAGACAACAGGGCACGATGTTCTTCTGGATATAAATCAAACAAACAAACATACATGTTTTCCAACCCAGTTTTGGTGCTTTTTTGCACTAGTCTGAGTAATAAACACTGACCTGAATCCTGCTAATTGGTCAACCTAGTGTAACAATCATTGTGTCCTGTCAAATCAGGACCCTTTCCAGGGTTTTCTAGATATAAAGTATTCAGGAGTGGTTTATCCTTCCCATCTTCTGAGACTGGGACTCTGGGACTGTGCAGCTTGCTCAAGGGTACATATGCTGGCTCTTCTCCTGGTACAGATAGTGGGTCTGTACACACTAAGCTAAGTGCAGTGGTATAAACTGTTATAGCAAATTGCTATTAGTCAATGAATTGATACTAGTATACGTCATCGTAAATTGACTCAAGTGACATGCATACTGAGGAATACAAACAGCAACTTGTTAATAAGCAACCAGCTTGTTCACTACTGCACTTTACACCATGGCAGTTGTGTTGGCATGACAAATATATACATCTTTCTATACAGTACTCATTTGCCACCATCACTACTCAGAAATATTGCTTTGACTACAAAAAGTACCAGATCCAACCCCTAACATTTCCAGTTCAAGGATATTAGATCGGAACTTGGAAAAGTTACTTGTTTAGATTACAGTTCCTGGAATGTCCCTTGCCATGCTAGATGGGGGGTGGATATGAAGAGTTGTTCAGAAACTCACTTCTCTAAAGTCTCAGGAAGGCTGAGGAAAGCTCCTGGCAGAGGTTTTTAAGAGCTACTACAGTCAGAGTAGATGATATTAGGCTGCATGTAGTCTCAGTACCTTGCAACTTCTCACACTTAAGGGCATGAAGTCCCATTCCATTTTCTTCTAAACAGCACCATTTGCCACAAGCAGTACCACAAGCAGGGACCACTGATACCAGCTGCCATCAAGATATAGTGGGTCACAAAAAGAAAACAAAATATAGAAGGTGTGACGCTTCGGAAACATCTTCAGGCACAGAAGCTTCAGTAAAATGGTTTGGCTGGCTCAAGAATGTGTACCATGAGACACAGGACAGATGAAGGGAAGTGCAATCACCCCTCGGACAAGATGTTTTCCAAATGCAATCTTTTTCACACATACGCACACATAGATAGCAATTCTCAGGTTGATATGCTGGAAATGGAGCACACACAGTAGTATTAAAAACATGGCAATGATATAGAAACAAAAGTAGCTATTGTCAAAATCACATCCAGCAAAAAGTTCTCTGGCAATTGTAAAGCTAAGAAGCTTCATTTGTTAGCCTCATGGATGTCACAGGACTCTTTAGTCCTTCTTGCTGCAATGAACTAATGCAATTAAACTCCTATAAATGCAAAGCCAGTGTAGTGATGACACAAACCAATTGGATTTAGGCAAAGCAGAAGCAGGTCTGGCAGCTGAGGCAGGAAAAACAAATAGCATTCCCTACTCTTAGGCATGAAGATGGGGTCCAAATCACCAGGGCAAACACTATTACCATGAATGTCCAGGAGAGGATGTTGATGGTCTACATCCCAAGGGACAAATCAGTCTATATATTCTCAGGCTTTCATGGCCAGGATCCGATGGTTCCTAACATTTTGCCTGTGCCCAGCATCTTCAGAGGACAGGAACTAGAACTCAGTCTGTGTTCTGGTGTAGTGTGTGGAATAGTTGAGTATTTGTAGCTGTGGGATCAGCTTTTTGTCCTTTTCAGGAGATTGGGTGATTATGGTGATCAGGGTGTTTTTTTTGTTATGGATGTATTGTTGTGAAAAGGGCAGAGAGGTGATCTGTCACTGTGATTCGTAAGTGTTGTTAGGTAGTCTTTTGTGTGCAGTGATCACCGGTCCCTGTGGCTGGGTAGAGTTTGTTGACCTTTTTGTAGGCTGCATTTTTCAGTGCTGGGAGCCAGGCTTTGTTGACTTTAAGACTTTCTTCTTTTTTGTTTAAACTGTGCCGATGTTTGTGGATTTCAATGGCTTCCCTGTGTAGTCTAACATAATGATTGCTGGTGTTGTCCAGTACTTCTGTGTTTTGAAATGGGAACATGAAAGACACTGCAGACTAAAACAACCAGAAAAATCAGCAGTAACTGAACATACCCTGAAACAAGCTGGACATGAATTCCTATTTCAAAACACAAAAGTATTGGGCAACACCACCAATCATTTGTTAGACTACACAGGGAAGCTATTGAAATAACAAACATCAGCACAGCTTCAACAAAAAGAAAGTCCTAAGTCAACAAAGCCTGGCTCCCAGCACTGAAAAATGCAGCCTACCAAAAGGTCAACAAACTGTACACAGCCACAGGGACCGGTGATCACTGCACACAAAAGACTAGCTAACAACAACCATCAGTCACAGTGACAGATCATCTCTCCACCCTTATCACAACAATACACCCTGATCACCATAATCACCCAGTCTCCTGAACAGGACAAAAAGCTTATCCCACAGCTACAAATACTCAACTATCCTACACACTACACCAAAACACAGACTGAGTTCTAGTTCCTGTCCTCTGAAGATGCTGGGCAGAGACACTGGTGAAACGTTAAGAAGATAAGCCTCCAGAACATGGCCAAACAGCCGGAAAAACCTACAACAACCAACAAATCAATATTATCTTTTCCACTGTGCTTGCCACTCTTGATGGGAGGGAGGAGATCATCTCATCTGGTGGCACAAACTCAGAGGGGAACTCAGAAACAAAATTTAAAAGCTGAACAAAAAACTAAATTGCCTCTTTCTCTCTACAGTTTGAGGTCTAGCATCTTCATTTTAACTTCCCTTTTCAATCAGTTATACCTGGCAAGTGACATATTTGCTCCTTGTTTTTCCCCCTCTTTCACAAGATCCTCCCCATTGCACGCCAATTTTTTTGAAACCATCCGAAGGTCAAAGATTTCAATTAATTTCCTCGCCAAACGTCAAAGAAGAGAAAACCTTCCCCGCAGAACTCCGCAACCGAGCGTTTATTTGCATTCCATCTGGCAGGATTCTCTCTCTTCGGCCCCCCTATGAAAGGCCCGCGTGGGGAGGGGAGAGAGAAATAAGGGGAGGGGGAGAGAAATATAGTATCCTCCCCGCTCCTTTTTTTTCTTCTTCTTCCAGAAACGGAGTGGAAGGGTGGGGGCGAGACTGGATGAACGCCTGGCTGTTAAAAGACACGCTTGCATTTTAATGAGCCCGAGAAATCCTCGTTCACTCCCGCACGTCCCCGCTCCGCGTTGGTTTGTTTTTCTCACGGCATGCTCGCGACAGATTCACGGATCCCGAAACAAACGAGCTGTTTTCGGAAGGGGCGAAGGGGGAAGCGAGACACCGGGGGAAGCGAGTGTCTGCTCCTCAAAGGGAAAGGAAGAGAGAGCGCGCCAGACAAAACAAAGGTCGGCAGCAGCCGGGGCTGAACGGGAAGATGTCCAAGAGGATCCATGCGACGGGAAGGGAGAGAAGAGGAGCGGGTGAGGCGCTCCACGCCAACTAAGGCCGGCCCTTCCTGCATTTGCACAAGGAAATGCCCCCTCAGACATCCCTTTCCTTCCTCTACAAAGGCAATCAGGAACATCATAGCACGGATCGCCTCGCAAGCGATCTCTCCAACCGCTCTTTTGTAGTATGGACGGGAGACGCACACATGCAAGAGAGGACAGTCTCCAGAAAACTTACCTTGGAGGCGTTTGTTTGGGTAGAAATGCCCGATTCCTTCCTCAGCAACTCGGGGGGAACACGCCCGGCCACACCAGCAACTGTCAAGAAGAAGTGTGTAGACTGGAAGCAAAAGCAGGGGGAAGGTAACGGAGCTGGCGGGGCGGAGGGAGGGAGGTGGTGATCAAACCGCCTTCCAGCTCTCGGAGAGTGCCTCGTCCATTACAGGTCTAAGCTCTGAAAATGGGTGCGCCGGATCCCCCCCTTCCTGTAGGGGACGCTCATACTTCATCGTCCGCCCTCCCGGGAGCTTGGAGGCTACCCCGTACCGTGCGCGCACCCATAACACGGAGGACGAGGGCGGCGGGAGGGGAGGGGGGCCGCGAAGGTGGGGGGGGGAGAATCCGCTGGAGCCAGGCGCTGGGTGACACCAACCAGCCCTGAGGAGTCCCTAGGGCTGCAGTTTTTCAGAAAGCGCACTCCTCTCGCTCTCTCGCTCTCTCTCTTCAAACAAGTTCCAAGATTTAAGTTTTTCCCTCTTCAGGTGCTTGGTCTGTCCCCAAGGAAGTGAGGTTCGCTGAAGCACACAGCTCGACAGACACCTGGCGAAAAGGAGCAAAGACACCCAAGAGCATCGGAAGCAAACTGCAACGGGTCTTAAAAAGCTCCGAAACTTGAGCTTGACTTCCTCTTCCGCGCGGTGGCCGCCTGCCTCCCAAGCATCGGAAGGAGAGACGATCCCGTGAGGTTTCGCACCTGCTTCAGGACAGAGTCAAAGAGAAAAGCAGGCGAGCGTGTTGGGAGCTGACGTTGGCCCAACGGGTTGCCCAGGCGCCCCCCCTCTCCGGCCTCTGCAGTCCGGTTAAAAACGACAGACGCCGCCGGAGGAGGACCCGGAGCCGGCGAGGCGAGAGACGCGGACGGAAGCCGGAGTTCCGGCCCTTGCTGGCTGCTGTCCGTGGTGCTGAAAACTGCTTCCTTGGCTCATCGTACGCAAAAAAAAATAATTTAAAAAAATCCTTTCCTAACCTTATTAGACGGCCCACATCCCGGGCGCGCATCATAATTCCTCGCTTCAATCGCCGCTAATAAAAGTTTCCCGTCTGGCCGGGTCTCTCTCATTTCTCCCGCCGGCGTGTTTTTGTTGTTGCTTTAAAATCTTTGACCTTTTACCTGCACCAAAATAAACGGATTTTCTTATTAACCAAATAAAATGAAAAGAAAAAGCAGACAACGGTAAGCTTAGAGAGTGAGGCTGCTTTCAGAGTTTGTGTGTATTTTCCACATGCATAAGATTGAGTGTGGTGCTTTTAATTAAAATATCAGTGGTACTGTTTCCCCCCACCCGCATGCACAATCTTGCTTGGGTGCTCCAAATGTTACCAGGGGTGAAGGAGTGATGGAGAAAAGCAGTAATAAGCAGAGACCAATGGCTTGAGTTTTTCTCTATTACCAAGAAAACATTAATCGGTGAATATTCCCAAATGGATGCAATAGGAAAGATTAAATGAAAATGTGAAAGCTTGTATTATTAAAAAAGAGATTAATACATGTGCATGCAAACGTGCACTCTCCCAAGTCTATTATCCTTTTGCCAAATATAGCTGACTTTTGGAGCATATTAAATCTAAATACTATGGCCTGCTGTGGGCATGGGCTTTTGGCCTAAAACCTCAATGAATGTCATGAATGACATCCCTACACAAAGGGAGCGTGCCCACATTCTTCAAAGTCCTCATGTCCATTTCCTGATAAGGATGAAAGGTAGTGCTCCAATACTTGCTCATGCCTTCGTTTCTTACTGGAACCCCACCTGTCCAAAAGTGTTAATGCTGTCATTGAAAGGCATGATCCAAAGCAGTCCTTCTCTATGCTCTTACAGGTCTGAAAACATTAGGCTAGCTTCTTCCTGTCCCACTTGGGCTTAACCCTGGGCTGACAAAGACAGACTGGCGATCCATCTGGACCAGAGGTGGCCAAAACACAGCTCTCCATATATTGCTGGACTGCAACTCTCAGCTTACCCCTCATTGACTGTGTTGTCTAGAGCTGATGGACATTTCAGTCGAACATCTGGAAGGCTGCACTTTGCAAACACTTGCTCCAAAGCTACTACTATCTACTCCAGGCATACCTGACTTATTAGATGTCATTGATTCTGACTTATAATGACTCTTCCCAGAGTTTTCTAGATATAGAGTACTCAGACATTATTTCCCATTCTCTTCTTCTTCTAGGCTACACAGGCTGGCTCTTTTCCCAGGAGTCACAGTGGGGAATTGAACTCCCAGTCTCTGTCTTTCCTGCCAGATGCTCCTGCTCACTGATTTTTCGAGTCAGTTTGGCTTGTCACTTTTTAAGCTGAATTCAGACCTCTGTCTATGTACTGTATATTGCGACACCAAGTGCTTGACTACCTGTTTGGGTAGTCCCAAGCAGGATGGAAAACCAGTAAATTTATTACATCACAAACAGGTTGCCAGATATGCTTCATGTGATACGCTGGGCTCAGAAAGACACAGACGGTGGACCTGATGTACTTTGACTGCCATTGCCTTCCTCAAGCCCTCCAGCTTGAACTCTTCACTGAAAATGGCAGCAATTGAATCTAGGATGCCAAAATGCACATAGTGCTTGTGAAGTTTCTGTTTGCAGGCCTGTAATTGGTCTTTTGGATGTTTGGGGGCAGCTTGAGGGGGGAATACAGCAAGAACAAACAAACGAACAATCAAACAAACAAACAAACTTGAAGGCCATTCAAACCCCATGTGTAAAATATAAAAGCACACAGGCCAAGCAGATCATCCTTCAGCACAGACCTAGCATTAAGATCTTGCTTCAAGATGGCCAAAGAACAGCAGGCACTAACATATCTTCTTCCTTTGGTGTGAAGGCAAGCTATATATTAAGAAGTAGCTGGGTGGTTCCTATGGTGGAGAGGTGTTGTTGAGGAGATGATACTTAGTTGCTGGCAACAGGCTTATTTACTCTGTCCTTTCACTAAGGTAGACAGAGGGGGGAATCTTTGCAGAGACACTTCAAGAAGGACAACTTTCTCAATGATCATATTACTGGTGGGAGGGCAACCCACATATATGGCACCTAGCTAGGAAGAATTATTTGAATGTGAATCACATTGCTCCCATTGTCTAGCAACATTTTACCAGGTGTCAGTAAAAGCAGAAAGGCAAAATGACCATAACTAGCACTGCTAGTCTCTCTTCCAGCTATTTAGTAAGGGCAGAAGAGGGATGGGAAACAATTGTTTGTGTATTATGTTTACATCTCAGTTTTTCTCCATTGAGCACAAGGATCAGTACCAAACCCACTCTGTCGACACACTGACCCTGTGAGGTAGATCAAGCTTGACTAGCCCAAAGGGTAGGGAAAGAAACAGGGAGTAAAACCAAGTAAAAAATCTTGTTTGTGGCACTCAAAGCCTAGAAGGAGTATTGAAAATCCACTTGGAATGACTAAGTTTCTCACAAGAATATTGGTGGCCCACATCCATTCTGTCATCAGATTTAGTGGTTTATTATAATTACACATGGAGAAAACATAATGAGGACTCCAGTTTATTATTTTGATAGGACTACCTGGTTTTAAATTGCATAATTGACTGACTGAACTGGAAAAAAGAAAACCTCAATATGAATGCCCCTTATTTTTGTATTGCATTTTACAGATTTGATCTGATTTGATTTGACATGATCTCTGGTCTGCTTTCCTCCTTCAGCTAAAATTCAAAGTGGCTCCCAGTAAGAAAAGGTAAAAATAAATACACAATATACCATAATATCAAAACTAATTATGTGACATCAAGTCAATTCAAACTCATGCTGACCCTTGCCAGGGTCTCCTGGGCATGATGTTTTCAGAAGTGGCTTATTGTTTCTTTTTCTGTGGATGCTCTTGACCAAGGCTACACAAACAAGATTTTCTCTCAGGAGGCACAGTGAGGATTCAAACTCCTGACCTCTGGCTCCAGCTTCTCCAACTTACTGTGTTATTAAGTGAGCTGATGTCAAAATGAACTTAAACAAATGGTTGTTAATGCAATGAAATTTTTAAAAAACGTATTCACAAAGGCTTTCACGGCCGGGATCTAATGGTTGTTGTAGGTTTTTTCGGGCTCTTTCGACACAGAGTGCTGTCCTCTGAAGATGCCGGCCACAGAGACCGGCAAAATGTTAGGAAGAACAGCCTTCAGAACATGGCCAAAGAGCCCGAAAAACACACAACAACCATTTTTTAAAAATGCATTAATAAAGTATCACACCCTCTGCCACCACATTAACAGCTCCTTCCTCATCAGCCAGTTGCTTACCAACAGCCTGCTGAAATAAGAAAAGATGGAGGGATACAGCAGGGAGCAATCCAGTCATGGAGAAAGCTACTTTTCCCTTCCCCACCAAAAAAAGCTAACAGTACCACAGGAAAGGCTACCACCCAAAAATCTCAAAGCATGGACAGGCTCATGTGTAAGAAACATTCACAATTCTTACCCTTCCATTTTAAACAAAGTGCCAACTCAGGATAGCATATCATAGTTTAAGTTAAAACAATATAACAAGAGAAGTTAAAGCATACCCAATAAAACAAATGGGTGGGAAGAGAGCTTACAGCAAGGTTTGGAAATTGTGGACCCTTCTGATGTTTTATCTTATAGCTCACTATACAATCAGTCTCAGTGGATGGAATTGTTTCCTTAGCAATCAGTGAAAGGCTTAGCTGACTAATCTCATTTCCAGCCCGCAGCCCCATTTGAAATATACAAAGCTAAGGTTATTGTGGGAGTGATTAAGAGGCATCTGTTAGAAGCATTATATATTCCTAATATTTTGCTAGCCTTCAACAGCCAGTTGCCAGCTCTAGTCACATTCAGTAATTCCATCTTGATCTCCTTTCTTACAGTTCAGCATTCTCCACTCTTCTCCCCTTCACAGGTTTTGAATGGTTTAGCTTACACCTCAAATGTGATATCTTCAATTGCCAAGAAGATGGGGGGAGGACCACGGTGATAACTTAAAGATATTTCTTGATTTTTATTTCTAAGAGCCACAGGATCTCGTTTTCAGCTGCTTAGGTGCATGCAAGAGATGTTTCCTACAGTCAAAGTGAATGCCGGAAAACCACAGCAAAGTGCTAAATCAGAATGACAGCACTTCATTGTTGTTTTGTGCTGGTGTGAAGGACTACAGAAAATGTCGCGTAATAAAGAAGTAGTGGAAACTGTAGTGCTTTAAAACTTAGTTGTTTAGCCTGTATCCATTGTACTTTAAGCAACTGATATATTTTTGTCATATTTTTTTAAAGAAAATGATATAATTTGAGCACACAGGTTTAAATATATAATTAAGAAACTAGGTAGACCATGTCTAATATATAATAAAATCTTGTTATAGACCTTATAGTTTCTAAAAGCATTGAATTCAACAGTGGGGTGCTTCTGGTAGAAACTAAGTCATATGGAAAGACATGGGGAAGAACAGATTAGTTTAGACAAGATTAGACACACACAAAAAATTCCTAACCAAAAATTTAATTTCTACAAATTGCAAGTTTGCCCCATAAATCTGTGCAGTGGCTGCATATATCCCAATTCCCAATTATCCTCTTCTGAACTCAAATATATATATAATCTATGTTTTTCCTCCTTCCTTTGTACAGTATTTGTCTTCCTGAATTGTCCATCTTGCTAATAAATATCATGAAAGGACAGTCACCCAGCTCAGAATTCCCCTACCCCTGTTTATCTCTAACTGCAATTCTGTGCCACCCTTGCTTTGGAATAGGTCCCTTTGAAATGAGTGAGATTTCATTCTTGGGGGAACAAAGTGAAGAAGTAAGGTTATTCCAGTCCTTCTCATTGCACCAGTAGCAGTTTTTGGCTCATGGAACGCTTGAATTTACAGCTTAGAGAAGTTACTTAGAGAAGTTGTACCCCTGTTGTGAGCCGCCTAGAGTGGTCTATTGACTAGATAGGCGGGATATAAATAAAATAAATAAATAAAATAAATAAATTACTTGTTTTGGATTATATCTCTCTAAGTCTTCCAGCAGATATGGCCACTGGCCATACAAGCTGGAAGATTCTATTAGGCATAGTCCAAAAAACTTTCTGAACTCTGAGACTTTTGTCTTCATTTTTACGAAGTAACCACCCCAAAC